AACTTGCCGAGGTCACCCAGCTGTTTAGGGTAAACTCAAAGACGTAGCTCCACGAAGCCTCAAAAGCCCAATAATCAATCTCGCCATCCCCCATGTTCATGTGTGTTAGCTATATTTCCCTAGACCAGCAGTCCTCAAAGCAGCACCCGCACGGGGGACCTTGTCAGAGATGCAAATCTGGGGCACCTGCCAAGACCACTTGAATCCAAACTCGGGGTGGGTGGGGCACAGCCACGCATGTCAGAGCCTGGCAGCCGATTCTGATGCCTGTTAGATTGAGAGACACTGCTCTAAAAACTTCCCCCAAACTAGCAATTTCACCTGACCACAGATTCCCTTATTTAGTCCCCTCCTCTCCACTTGCTTTTGGGCTCCTTTGTGGGTTGTTTTTGTTTTTTTTCCCCCAAGGACGCACATGCATCCCCATTCCTCCAATAAACTGCAAACTGCTCCAGGGCCCTGAGAGGCTTTTGAAAAAGAACTCTTGACCTCAGTTTTTCACTTAACTCAACACAGGTTCCTTTAGTACTTATGCATAAAGCACTGGAAACATGAAGCTAAGGCGTGGCCTCTGTCTTCCAGAGCCTTCCAGTGACCGTGGGCAGAGTGGGTACTCGCCAAGTCTCCGCTATTAGCATGCACCACTAGGAAGATGAAATAAACACAGAATTCTGAGTTTCTCTCTCCTCAGTCCTTCCCTCTTTAGCTACTCTGTCTTTTCACGGGTCTTTTTGCTTCTTCTTTCTGTGCCTCATCATGGGTAACTGTGGTCAGGGAGCCAGCCTTTGCTCTTTGCCCCAAGTGGGCAAATCTAAAAGCTGTTGCAATGGTTCTATTTAAATCGGATCCATCCGTGCAGGCCATCTTCATTGAACATGTGTGTGGGAAGTCTTAGGGATGGACGAGAGCTTCTGCTTTCACAGAGTCTGCAGATCTGGGGGCCACGGCGAGAACGACTTCAGAAAGTACCACCAATTACAAAAAGGAAACAGGAGGTAAAAAATTTGGAAAAAAATAATTTTGTTCCTGCAAGGAATTAAATGGGCACCAAGAACTCTCTTAAGGAGACTCCAAGTCAGCACAAGAAGATGTTCTTCATAATCAAACCCAGCTGCTACATGCCTGACCATATGTATAGTCATAGGAGCCCAAGCAAAGAGGGGCCCTGCGCATGAGCTGAGTTAGCCTTACGAAGTTAGCACCTTTTAGTTTGTGTATCTGGCATGTACGGCTCTGGTTAGAAGGGATTCTAACTCTGCAGTTGGGAGGAGATCTCCCTTCCTGGCCAGGCTTCCCTGTAAGGCAGAACACTTTTCTTCCATTCACTAGCCAAGGCAGAGAGCCAAAGAAAGAGTTATTAAACAATTTAAAATGTGTTTTTATTCCTGGCACTAAGTGTTGACATGGACACTGAAATGGTGGGGGAGGAGGAGGCAATCCTGACAGGCTGAAATGGCAGCTGAGGTCAGAAGACCAGGATGAAAGTTCTCAGAACTGTTTCTAAGACACCTCCCTATTTTCACTGTTTTTTCCAGGTTTAGTATTGGAGGTAACATTGCTTTGGCCCAAAAGAATAAGGAAATTTCAGAAGGCAATGTTTCATGTTTGCACATCTGGTGACTCTGCTATGGATAGTTTGTTCAAAGACATGACATCATTATAATCTGCAGTAGCCATGTGTCAGGTTAGGACAGGAGGGGTGGAAAAGGCAGCCTTTTCCGCAGAGGCCTTCGCTGTACACTGGGATTAAAAAGGGGCGGGCTTTGACAAAGTGTTACTCAGGATGGTGTTACAGTATTTAAACTCACTGGAAGTTACTCAGATAAAGCCTTGAAGGCTCTGTCAACACAGTAAACAGGTCAGATATAAGGTCTTGGAACCTTTTTGTTATTGTCAGCTGTGGTCAGTAAACACGGACTGATGGCAACTGGCATAGGAGCCAGGCTGATTTAAAGGAAGTCATAATACTTTAACTAAAAAGTGCAAACCTAGAAGTGCTTATGTCACCTAAAAACATGTGAGGCTCTTCCACATCAGGTGGGGGATGTCTGGCTAGGTGGCCACAGACCTGTCATAACCATTGCAGTTATTTCTATGAAAATTTATATTCTAAACCTCGTTTGCAAATAAGGTTGAAATCCAAAACTACAGAATTCACCTGGTGACTGTTTCAAAAGCAATAATAGAAAAATGGAAAATGAGGGAGAAAAATACCGGGGACATGATTTAGAAAGTGAAACACCAACATACAACCACTTCCAGATGAAATAAGTTTGAGACAGAGGTTACCTATACACATTAATCAAGGGAAAAATGTAAGGAAAAGATACTCTGACCATGGGTACCTGGGTGTCAGTCTACATTATGTTATTAAGAAAACAAACAAAAAAACTATTAAGAAGGTCCCTGGTACTCCTTGGTGACGGGGACTAAATCTTACTCATCGCCAAATAGCTAAACGTGATACTCAGGAACCAATATTTTCTTGTTAAATAAATGTATGATTACTTTTTACCCTGCCTTATTCCCAAAAAAGGACTTAAGATTATTGTTGAATGAATTAATAAGCAATGCTGACACTTCATATGTATGCTTCCTTAAATTATCATTTTTCAGATAAACAGACAATGTACATTATATTTCACTGAAGTAGTAGAAAGAACTTGCTGTGAAATGGAAATTTACTGTGTGGCGTATTTTAATTTATGAATATCCCAGACCATGTGGTTTGATTGTCCATTTGACTAAGTGCTTACAGCTGTTTTATGAGAGAATTAAATGCTAGCAGACTGAACATCAATGAAGGCAGGACAGTCCTTTGAAATTAAAACTCGGATTCTAAAGTGTACTTTTATTATGGGTTGGTGAATATTTTTTTTAATAGTAGGAAAACATCTTTGAAATTTTCATGGAAGTCAGTGATTCCTATGGATGACCTTTTAGGAGTGCATATAATATACAAATTAGGATTGTGCTATCATCCTTGTAGGTAGCTGGACACTAGAGGCATGAGATTTTCAACTCTTAAGTTCTAATCAATGGATAAAAAGACAACATTCCTGGTCTGTGTTGCAAATTCTTCCTCCCAGTATGAATGGCCTAAGCCTATCAGGTGAGTAAACTCTAAGACATTTAAGAAGCTGGCAGGGGATTCTACAAACTGGGGCACCAGGATCCTGCTTGCTTTACTGTAAGACAATAGCTAGAAATACAAAGAAACTCAGGGGTTGGTATCAGAGTTCTAGGCATCAGCTCATTCTGCTTAGCCCTTGAACACCAGCATCGGAAGTGAACTACAAAGTTAAGTAATATACATGGGGCTCTGAACCAGGAACTCTAAGAAACATGAGGGTCACCCAGTTGACGAGAAAGCACACCACGGTACTTTGGGGAAATATATTCTGACCTCCCTTCAGTTTGCATAAACCTTTTGCCTTTTACAAAAATTACCCTAGGGTACCTTCCCACCTATGTTTGGGTAATGTCTGAGAACATCTTACTAAAAGGAGTTTGACCCAGGCAAGGGGTGGATGGATCCCTTTATCTCCTGTCTGACAGGGGACTACCCCACATGGCAGGGCTTTCAAAGCCCCACACGGCTCCAGATGTTACAACAGCCAAATGCATTTAAGTACATCTCTGCTGTCTTGAGTGGGTGATGGGGCTGGAGTAGCTGGATACTTGACAACTATTAGAGGGATGTGGGCTAGGTTTTATGCATAAGATTTTCTTTAAACAAGACCCACTTAGACATGAAATACTTCTCAGGAGAAATTCTGTTAAAAGGGTTAATGTAGAAACACGTCCATGCAAAACCACCCAAATACCCAGGACCAAAGCTCAAGACTAAAAGAAGCGATTGTCTTGAGCAAGTCACAAGTCAGTTTAAAACACAAACACTACATTTACCCAAGCTGCTAATACCACTAGCTTCATTATGAAGGGACCCGTCTAGAACAGAGAAGTAGAAGAAAAGTCTCCAAGTGGATGTTTTCTTGAGCCACCACTCCTAGTCTAGACCCTTGTCACTCACTTCAGGCTAGATGATTATATTTGTCTCCATTTCTCCTTTAGTTTCTCCCCTCTCTAATCTGCTCTACACATTTTCCCAAACCATTATTTCCAAAAACTTCAATGACTCCCCTATACCACAGGATTAAATCCACTCCCCTCAGCCTGGCTTTTGAGGTAATCCACACTGTGTGATTTCCACTCTGGCTGCTAACTCTGTGTCCCACCACAAAATACAGTGGTTTGCAGCAGAGACACGGAGACCCAAGGAATTAGCAGCAGGAACAAATGTGCTCTGGTATTGCTGCTCCGTATCTGGGTAAATATTCCTCTGGAATGCCAGTAAAACTGTCTAGGTGAGGACATTTAAATGCCAAGAGCGCCTCTCTCTCCTCTGGGGTACAGGGCTTGTAATATATTCAACAACAACAAAAAAGATAGTGAGACCTGAATCATCCCAAAGTTATTTAAGCTCCAATATAACAAACCTAGAGCTAATATGCTATTTTGTTCCTCCTAATAAAGTTATTCATTAGAATTAGTCTGATTAGCTAGGTCTGCTGCTGTAATACTAAAATAGTTAATAATTGTTATGTATTTAGGTGGACTATTTGAAAACTTGTCTTAAGAGAAACTTTAAATCGTTGAGAAATTTTCATTCATATAGAGTTAATATCCTGTTTACAAACCTTTATATTTATTCATAAAAGCAACTACTCAAGGACAGAACTCTAGTTCCAGTTACTCATTTTTTATCATCAGGCTTCACGCTAGTTTCGAGGAATTTCTGGAGTCACAGCTAACTTTATGGGCAGCCGCATTTCATCCTTTAGCTGCGTCCTGTCCTGACACCACAGGGGATGCAGCAGAGCGGGTGGTGAAGGCGGAGGAGGACAGCTGAGCGGAGGGCGGGGAGGCGGGGCGGTGGGGAGGCGGGGCGGTGGGGAGGCGGGGTGGCCAGGAGCAGGGAGGCACCAGGGCTCTCTCACCTTCAGCAGCTTCATCAGCCCTTCCAGCTGAACCATCAGCTCACGCCTGCTCTCCTGCAGTGCCGACATTCTCTGCTCCAGCTCATCTTTCCTCTGCCTGTCCGAGGGGAAAAGCCCATCAGCAAGGAAACTCTGAAGATAAAGGGATCTTCAAAGAAGGGTCCAAGCGTAGGTGAAATTGATTTTAGACCCGAATTCTGCTACTTACCAGGGTCTGATGAGCTGAGCAAGTCATTTAACCTCTGCTAGTTATGTTAGAAAGTGGGGATAATATTTATTTTGCTCTCTTTCCTTTACTGTTGTGAGAATAGTTTGTAAAAATGCTTTGGAAAACACACAATATAGATATGGCAATATAGAGAAAAAGTATTATTAATATTATTAAAGCAATTTAAAAAATTCCTCAGGAAGTCAAAAACCTCATTTAGAAAGATATATAAAACTAGTTCAAATTTGAATTGACAGTGAGAAAATGTATGAAAACTGCTCAGGGAGAATAGGGTTCCGTTGCTATTGCTTCCAGCACCAGACACCAGCCTCAAGAGTGTGACTGACATTAGGGTGACTCTGTGTCTAAGAGAATTCACTTTTTCCTGAGGACAGATTTCATGTCAATTCTAGCTCAATATGTCCAAAACCAAACTTAAGACTGTGGTCCGCAAGTAGTTAGTTCTCTTTCCTGATTTCTTCCAGTTGTCATGGCTGAAACCTTCAGTCCTCTTTAATACTTTTCTGTTTATATCCTATTCTCCATCACCCAATTCAGATGATTTTTTCCTAGAAATTTATGCATCTTTCTCTTCCCACGTCTCTCACTTTATCCAGGCACACCGTACCTCACATGTGCAATGGTCTCCCATCTTGATTAATCCTGATTTCATCTGTTATGGTGAGGTGGAATAGAAATCAGGAGACTTAAGGCCACCATTTACTAAATACTACAACCTTGGACAAGCCACTTACCCTGTAAGAGCCTCAATTTTCTCTTTGCTAAAATGGGACTAACTATAAACAGCAATGGCAATATTTTGAGGATCAAATAAGATACTAGGTATGAAAGTGTTCTATGAACTTTACAATGCTGCTCAAAGGCTGTTCATTTCATCATCTTCCATAATAATCTTAGTAGAATTTCTAGCATCACTAACTCTTGCCTTGCATGATCCATGCCTCAGCTGTCCACTCTAGTAGCCACTAGCCACACATGACTACTGAACACTTGAAACATGGGTATTCTGAATTGAGATGCACTGGATTTCAAAACCTTAATGTAAAAAAAAAAAAAAGAAAGTAAAATATCTCAATATTTTTTAATGTTGATTATATGTTGAAATGGTAATATTTTGGATAAATCAGGTTAAGTAAAAGATAGTGTTAAAATTAATGGCACCTATTTCCTTTTAGTTTTTCATTGTGGTTGTTAGAAATATTTTAATTACATATGTGGCTCACATTATATTTCTATCGGAGAATGCTGCTCCAGACCCCACCAACATTCCTATCCCTAGTGCCTTACCTTCTATTCCCTTCCATGTCTGGATGTCTAGTTGATGGTTCCTTTTTCCCTAAACAGATCCTATCATTTCACGACTCACAACCATTCCCCCACTTCTTCCAAATGTTATTCACTCCTTAGTGTCCAACCCAAACATCACTCTTCCCAGGAAGCCTCTCCTGATTACTTCAGCAGGTATCAAATCCTGCTTAATTAATCACCATAGCAATTGGTGCTTCTCTGTGGTAATTTATTTTACCTTGCATTGCTGTCATTCCTACCATGATGCAAAATCCTTGAGGTCAGGGATGAGTCTTTGCATGTACTGAATGGTTAAGAGACTATCACGCCTCCAGTATGTACTCAGTTAACATCTGGTGAAGTTACACAATCATTGTTTGAAATCCTCCAAGGACTTCCAATCACCTATCACTTAAGGCTCTCTAGAATCTGATCTCAATTATTCAACTTAATTTTATCTCATATCACTAGCACTTTAAAGATTAATGCAATGGCTGCCTGAAACAAACTCTTAGCTCCAAGACTCCTTCCCTCCTCTGAAATGTATCATATAGTAATTTGGGGAATCATGCTGAACCCCAACTCCACTTCTAATCTGAAATGTTTTCTCCCAGATTTTATCCACATCATCCCTACCTTTCATGGTCTAGCTCAATTTCCACCACCTCCATGGGTCTAACTGCTTCCAGCCTATATATATATATATATATATATATACACACACATACATATACACATATATGTATATATTTCCCTACTTATATTCTTTTTTTTAAGACTTTATTTTTTATTTGAGACAGAGAAAGAGAGATAACGAGAAGAGTGGGGGGCGGAGAGAGAGGAAGAAGCTGACTCCCTGCTGAGCGGGGAGCCCAATGCAGGGCTCGGATCTCAGGACCCTGAGATCATGACCTGAGCCAAAGGCTGATGCTTAACTGACTGAGCTACCCAGGCACCCCACCTACTCAGATTTCTTATGACATAGTGCCCATGCTACTTATTAACACTATATAATATTAATTGACTAGAAAATTATTTTACGTTTATTTTCAAAACTATATTATAAATTTTTAAGATGGACCCATTGTTTTCTAGTCTTCATACTCTCTAAATTTCCAGTGCAGCTATAAATGCAATAAAGAGAAACTGACTCATTCAGTTTTCTAGAAAGCCTTTCTTCCCTGAACTTTTAAGACTGGATGCAGTACTCTTTCCCTGTGCTGTGCATAACCAAGTAATTATAATATGTGGTGAAAATGAATGAACTCCAGCTACATGGAAGAATTCTGAAGCATAATACTGGGCGGGGGGGGGGGAGGTTCCACTATATGCATATAGTAACATTTCTCTAAAGCTCAAAAAACAAAACATAAAACTAAACACTTTAATATGTGGGAATACACATATATTTGATAATACTATTTAAAAAGCAAAGGAATGATAAACCAAATTCTGGATAGAGGTGAGCTCTGTGGAGAAGGTGGAAGCAAGGAAATGGGATCAGGGGCACTTATACACGACATGGTTTTAACAATATATGAGTAGATGTGGGTTCATGCATATTCATTTTATCATTATACTTTGTATCTTACACATTTGTCATATATGCTGTTGTAACGAATATGCCATTAAAAATAGTAATCAAGGGGGAAAGACAACCCTGGTGGTCAGAATTCATGACAACTAATCCTAAGAATGAAATTCTCCATCTTCTTTTATTATACTAGCTGGGTATTGGCAGTTTCTGGATTCCTATATATTGGTCAAAACCAGAAGGATGTCAGATACCTAGGAATGAATCTTGCCCTTTATATGTCTTTTGATAAACAACAGTTCTTAATATGAATAGAGATGAATTTACCAACTTCTTTCATGGTTAGTTAAGTGCCTGCCTTCAGCTCAGGCCATGATCCCAGCGTTCTGGGATTGAGCCCCATGTTGGGCTCCTGCTCAGCGGGGAGTCTGCTTTTTCCTTTCCCTCTGCTCCTCCTCCTGCACCCTGATCATGCTCTTTCTCTAATAAATAAATAAAATCGTAAAAAAAAAAAAAAAGACATTCCCTACATTTTCTTCTGAAGTTTTAAAGTTTTGTCTTCATGTTTAATCTATCCGGTGGTATTTTCTCTACATAGTATGAAGCAAAGAGCCAGTATGTTCTGTCTGTACGCATAACCAATTGATCCTGCACAATTATAAAATAGTCCCTCTTTCTTCAATGATAATGGAAGCTGCTTTTGAGATTATTTAAATACTTCCTGATTTCTCAAGAGTTAGACCCTCCTTGGATTTAGGTTAAATTCTTGCTTCTTGCTGCCTACATGAATGACATGACACCACTGGACTTATCCCTTTGCCTACTAGATCTATGATATTTTTCAGACCCCTCCAGCTTAATAAAGGACTTGTAGCAATCCCACCTCCAGCAGCAGTTAAAACTGGAGTACAACCATTTTTGCTTTGCTAGATACAAAATAGTTACTTGTGCCTGAACCGTGGTGGGGAAACAGAACAGTTGTATCTTATGCTGAGCGTTTAGAGTTACACTGGGTTTGAGTCAGCAGGACATGTTCTCCCAGACTTCCCAGCGTAGCACCAACCTGCTAACATCCCAGGCATGCAACAGAGGACCGCATAGCAACCAAATCCTCAAGCCCGATTAAATATAGAAACTAAAATGAATCTTCAGAAGAATAGAAATTCTCTATATCTCTAATGATTTTCATCTGCACAGTTTAAATTCTTTATGACTTATTTATTGATGATATAAATCTAGACAGAAAGACAGTTACGGAAAAACCATAATCTCCATTCTCTAGGAAAAGAAATCATGGTTGAGAAGCTAAGTGACTAAGCCAAAGGAAGAATTAAAAAAGGACAGCTATAAGCGGAATAAGTCAATCAGAGAAAGACAATTATATGATCTCATTCACATGCGGACTTTAAAAACAAAACAGAGGATCATAGGGGAAGAGAGGGAAAAATAAAACAAGATGAAACCAGAGAGGGAGACAAACCATAAGAGACTCTTAATCAAAGGAAACAAACCGAGGGCCCTGGGGTGGGGAGGAGGATGGGGTAACTGGGTGATGGACATTAAAGAGGGCACCTGATGTAATGAGCACTGGGCATTATATAAGACTGATGAGTCACTGAACTCTGCCTCTGAAACTAATAATACATTATATGTCAATTAAAAAAAAAGGATAGCTATGCAGAATCCCAGGTGATAGCACATTAAAAATCAACTGTGGAATGTCAAATGTTACAACCTACACAGAAAGAACCCACTCTTTGGAAATTTAGAGGTCTGGTGAAAATCAAGTCACTTAGTGTCCAAAATGTCTTCACTTACCAAAGAGTACACACACATCTTTCTAAGACTGATAGGATATAAGACCCTAATAGCTTTGACTGGTTCACTTTCATGTTATGGTCTTCTAGAAGATTTCTCCATTTCCTCCAAAATAGCATCCAAATGGGGGCTGAAGCTGCTCTCTACCCCTAGTCAGATCCCGTGCCCTTTAGTTTCCCAGTCCTGAGACAGTTTGTATTTATGTTGAAGTGGGAAGATTCCACAGCCATGGTGCAAGGGACTCCCACTTGGTTTTGTGTCTGAGGATGTGCATAGGTAGCAAGCACCCTTCTCCTTCAACAGAGTCCTGCTCCATGAGGCACCAGGAGAATATACTCATAGAACAGAAGAGCACTATTCCTGCCAAGAGTCTTTAAAGTCAGACGAATTAACAAGATAAGAAGATTGTAGCACAAGGGTCTTAAAGCAATCACAAAAGTATAAACACTGCTCTGCTTGTCATGGAGCTGGAAAATGGTGTTGACCTGGTTCTGTAATGATGGCTGAAGTTCTCAGAGTCGTTAATAATGGAAGCCAAACATTTGAAGCGGTAACAGAATGAGTGGAATGCGTTTGTTCTGACAGGACTAGTTATAGTGATAAACAGATTCTATCCCACTAGTTTGGTTCCCTTACATAAATTCCTACCGTAACAGATACTTACCTCAGCAGCCGCAGCTCTGCCAGCAATGTGGGGTTCTGCTGCGCCTTCTCAGGGGTGGGCTGGGAAGCCTGCTCGTGCTCCAGACGGAGACGCTGGATCTCTTGCAGGATCTCCCTAGAGAGGAAAGATGAAAGAAAGATGGCTGCACAGCTCTCTCTTTTCCTGTCAGGACTTCTAACTCTAGTACAGTGGCCTCTACCAATCTTGTTCTGTTTCCGAATGACCAAGATGTCAAAGAGTCACCTTCTTAACACTGCTGCACTTCATATTTCCTCAATGAAACAATCCTTTGTGGTAGAAAAAGTGATATAAATACTCTTCTCAAGAACTTGAAAAATCTCCACAAAAGGAAAACCACCACTAGAATGCTCTGTTCCTTTCTAGGGAAAGGAAAAAAGAACTCCCTGCAACCTCCTAATATGGGTCCTATGCTAACTTCTCCCGTCTTTGTCTCTCTTCTTCCTGTTGAGTAGCTGAATGATGAGAGCTGCCATTTCTTCTTCCTGTGCTTGTTACGTTACATCCAATCTCCTTGTCCTGGTTTCTGCCTCTCAGGGCATACTGGTGTGCTGTCTGGTCTCCGTGCCTTTAATTAATTAATTAATCTATTTATCTATTTATTTTTAAGATTTTATCTATTTGAGAGAGGGAGCACAAGCAGCGGGAGCTGCAGGCAGAGGGAGAAGCAGGCTTCCCGCTGAGCAAGGAGCCTGATGTGGGACTCGATCCCGGGACCCTGGGATCATGACTTGAGCCAAAGGAAGACGCTTAACTGACTGAGCCACCCAGGCGTCTCTCTCTGTGTCTTTAAATGGCTTTGTGGTGAGAGACCAGTCAGTCACACGCAGCACAGTGGGCCAGGATATGACAACTAGACAGAGCAAAAGGGGGCTGGAGTGGAAAAGGGAATCATGGGAGGGGAACTGGTGGGTGGGAGAAGGCACTGGGGTAAAGAATCCACCTGCAGGCATGTAAGTAGGGCTGTGGGCTACCAGAATGTATGGCGTGCAGAGATCTACAGATTAGAGTAGGGGCATTCCCATGAGTTGGTCGGGCCTATATACACTGAGGTAGGGTCTTCCTTTACAGTCAAAAGCCAGCTAATCTACAAGGAAAATGAGAAACAGATACTCACATGATGATCTTGGACTTTAGAAGCTGGCTCGACCTCTGCATTCTTACCTGTTTTTGTTTTCCAGTTCTGCAATAAGCTGTCTTTGTTGTTTGTTGGCATCAAAGTTAAAGCTCAAGTCAGTGGGAGGACGGGTCTACAGTGAGGAGAAAGAAAGGGTTGTTTTTCTTTTGTTTTTTTTTGGTGTGTGTGTGATTAAACTACATCCTGAGTCCTAGACTACTGATTTTTTAAAACAGTTTTTTTAGGTATAATTTACATACCATAAAATCTACCTATTTTAAGTATACCATTCACAGTCTTAGTAAATTTAAACTGTTGTGCAACCAATCACCAGAGTCCAGTTTTAGAACATTTTCCGTCACCACAAAAAATTCCCTCATGGTGGTTTGTCGTCAATTGCCACTCTCATCCCCAACCACAGGCAACCACTGATAACTTTCTGTCTATAGTTTTGCCTTTTCTAGAAGCTTCATATATATGGACTCGTACAATATGCAGTCTTTGGTTTCTGGCTTTCACTAAGCATGATGTTTCTGAGGTTTGTCACTATTGCTCCATGAATCAGGAGCTCCTTCCCTTTTATTGCTGAATAGTACCCCACGGTTCCCAGTTTTTGACTGTTGCAAATGAAGTTGCTGTAAATTTTCATTTACAAGTCTTTGTGTTGATACACATTTTTATTTCTCTTGGGTAAATACCTAGGAGTGGAATTCCTGAGTTATATGTTAACTCTATATTTAATATTTTGAGGAACTATCCAACTGTTTTCCAAAGTAGCTGTACCATTTTAGAATCCCACTAAGGAGGGACAGTTCCGATTTCTCCACATCTTCAACACCTGTCATTGTCTTTTGTTTTAACCAGATTCTAGTGCATGTGAAATATTTAATTTGTGGGGTTTTTTAAAGATTTTATTTCTTGAGAGAGAAAGCATGAGGAGAGGGAGAGGCAGAAGGAGAGGGGGAGAGAGAATCCCAAGCAGACTCTGTCCTGAGCACAGAGCCCAACACGGGGCTTGATCCTGGGATTCTGATGTCATGACCTGAGCTGAAATCAAGAGCTGGACACCTAACCGATTGCGCCACCCAAGTGCCCCCCCCCCGGTTATTTTTTTTTAATTGAGATATAATTTGCATACCATAAAATCCACTGAAGCATCCAATTCAGTGGTTTTTAGTATATTTACAAGATTGTGAGATTACTGCCACTAACTCCAGAACGTTTTCATCAGCCCCAAAAGAAACCCAATACCCATTAGCAGTCATTCCCCATTCCCCCTACACACACACCCTGACAACTGCTAACCTATTTTTTCCATCTGTGGATTTGCCTCTTCTGGATATTTCATATAAATGGAATCATACAATACGTGATCTTTTATGTCTGGCTTCTTTCAGCAAAATGTTTTCAGGGTTCATCTGTGTTGTAGCATGTTATCAATACTTCATTTTTTGGGGGGCTGAACAATATTGTTACATGGATATACCACATTTTGTTTATGCATTCAACAGCTGATGGGTATTTGGGTTCTTCCCATTTTTTGGCTATTTTTATTAATGTTGCTATGAACATCTGTGGACACGTTTTTGTGTACAGATAGGTTTTCATTTTTCTTGGGTATACATCTAGGAGTGGAATTGCTGGGTCATACAGTAACTGCCTTTTGAGGAACTGCCAAATTATTTTCCTAAGTGGCTGCACCATTTTACATGCTCACCAGCAATTTATGAAGGTTCCATTTTTTTCATATCCTTGTCAACACTTGTTATTGTACATCTTTTTGATCGTAGTCTTCCTAGTAGGTGTGAAGTGGTATCTCCTTGTGAATTCAACTTGCATTTTCCCTATAACTAATCTGTGGAGCATGCGTCCATGTGCTTATTGGGCATTTGCATATCTTCTCTGGAGAAATCATTTGTGGTTTTGATTTGCATATCCACTGACATTCCTGACCCTTGTTACCTCCTTTAAGAATATAGAAGCCAATCAACACAAACTAGGAAAAAGGATGCATAGGCGATGGTTCCCTTTTTTTCATTAACCAGAACGGAAGCTCAAAAGGAAGGCTCTGCAATGGCTATGCTTCACACTCTGCACATACTTGGTTCTACCTAAAACATGACCTACCACGAAGCAGAAACCTTGTTTCCTGTCTAGAGCTTAAAGATGCAATAAGTAATTCTTTTCATGTGGCATTTCCTAAATAAACAGGGGTAAAACAGCATAGCAAATGTGGGTGGGAGGCTTTTTTTTTTTTTTTACCAAATATTTTTTTCTTAAAAGAAAAAAAAAGGTGATGTTTCTTCTTTTAGAAGCCAATTGAGCAAATTTTCTATATTCTTTCCAGAATCTTGTGAGAGCCAGAGCTGAGCCTCAGAAAAATGGCTTGCCTGAGACTGAATCTGCTGTGAATAACAGATTTCCAATTCCTGAAAACTGGAGTTAAAGCAAATGGCTCCTTATTAGCGTGGGATCAGGGAAAATTACGGATGAGGAAATGGGCTCCAAAATGAATTGGCTTCGTGATGGCCAACAAACAAAAACCTCACAGTATTTTACTGGAAATTTCTTTTCGTTTTAAAAAAGATTTTATTTATTTACTTGACAGAGAGAGGGCAAAAGTGGGGGGAGCAGCAAAGGGAGAGGTGGAAGCAGACTTCCTATTGAGCAGAGAGCCCGACGTGGGGCTCGATCCCAGGACCCCGGGATCATGACCTGAGCCAAAGGCAGACGCTTAACCAACTGAGCCACCCAGGTGCCCCTTCATTGGGTATTTCTAAAGAATTTTTTCAGTTTTCAGTTACTGCAAGGCTGAGGCTTCTTTCAAAGAAGAGGTTAAAACAGGAATCAAGAGTTATTATCAGCAGCAATTCCTAACCAGGTGAGAGATTCTTTGGCACCAAGAAGTATTGTTACTCAAGTACAAAGAAGCGTGGGGGGAAGAAGATTTCTATCCTGAGGCAGCAGTTCCACTGGGCTGACAACAGAGAGAGCCCCCCAGGGGAAGTGTTTATGATGGCTTATTTCACCCAATCAAATTCTGAACACAGTCAAGGGTACATTAAGTAACAGAGAAACTTAGGATTTTATTTATTTACTATCTTAAACTCCACACTGCTTTTATAAAAAAAAGAAAGAAAGAAAGAAAAAGAAAGAAAGGCCAGGTCTCTCTTCCTAAAATGCCTCGAGGATAGTGAAGAGAAAAAGACAGAAAGGGAATTATTAGTTCATAAAGACATAGAATACTTCGATCACAAGAGACCTAAGGATGATTTCTTTAAAAAATTAACTAGTTCATTCCTTTATTCAGCAAATATTTCCTGAGCACCTAGCATGTGCTAGACACTGTTCTCGTGTAGCTACCTGATGCTGGGAGAGAAAGATAAGGAACCGAAGATCTAAGTACAGACCATCAGAGGTGATAAATTCAATGATGAAATATAGGGTCACAAAACAGTAAACTGAGACAGAAGACTGACTCTTTTTGAATGAGGTGATAATGAAAAGTCTCTCAGAGACTCAGTCAAGTGGGGAAGCAAACCAGGTGCTGGGCTGAGGGATGGGTGTGCTGGGCAGAGGCCAAGGCCTGTAGCTGCTCCATCTGGGTGTGTTCAGGTCAGTATGATGGAACAGAGTAGGCTCTGGTGAAATCGGTAGCTGACTCTATGAGATGACCCTGGGCCCCAATTACCAAGGGCCTTTTAGCGTTTTTAGAGTTTCCATTTCATTCTGAAAGTGGTATGAAGCCACTGTAGGATTCTGAACAAGGAAATATGGACTCAAGTCCAAATACTGTAGGTACATACTCTGCCTTCAAGGAGATGGAGCTTATCTCTCAGTCCTTTAGTACAGACTGTCCGTAGTGACTTCTTTCCAAAGAGGACAGTGTGGAAAGCGGGGAAAAAGTAACTTTATGTTGGAGAAACCTGACAAACACTACCTTGGCCAGGTGATCAAGGTCAACATCAACAGTGATAAATGATGTTGGTACTATGTATCCTTGATACAATGGAAGAAAAATGGCGCTTACCTTCTCCTCCTTAAAAGCTATAACTCAAGTCTAATCATGAGGAAAACATCAGACTAATCCCATTTAAGGGACATTCTACAATGTAGTCGACTAGTACTCCTCAAAGCTGTCAAGGTCATCAAAAACAAGGAGAGTTAGAGAAACTGTCACAGCCCAGAGGAGACTAAGAGACATGACAACTAAATGTAATGGGCTATCCTGGATGGAATCCTGCAGCAGAAAAGGGACATTAGATAAAAACTAACAAAATCTGAACAAAGTATGGACTTTAGTTAATAATAATCTATCAATATTGGCTCAATAACTGTAATATGTGTACCATGCTAATATGTTAATAGGAGAAACTGAGCATGGGTTATTTGGAAACTCTAGTAGCTTTGCAATTTCTCTGTAAATTTAAAACTGTTCTATAATAAAAAGTTTATAGGATGTGAACCCTGTTTTGGCTCCTATATAGAGAATTTACTGTAGTGAGTGAAGAATGGAAGTAGATAGGCTAGTGAGGAATCCTAGGTTTTGCTATCTACTCACCGCAAACCTTGAGTTATTTTATTTCCCTATATTTTTATTTTCTTAGCTGTAAAATGGGAATATTTACAGAAAGAGATGTGAAGGGGATCAACTCCTCTGTTACATAAGCATTCTCTTAGGTTTAGGTAATCTCACAGAGCTCCATCATCTTTAATGAGATGGAGATACATCTGAAAAATACAGGGTAGGGGCGCCTGGTGGCTCAGAGTAGAAAACAAGACCCCTTCGGGTAAAACTGGGCAAATGTTACAAAACCAAGGAAAGCCAACGTAGTCAGCAAACTATAATCTGGTAGCACGCATTTCTGAAACCTCCTCAAAAAAGACTGGAGGCTTCCCATCTGTATGAACTTGGCAGGATGAGTTCCAGAGATATGCCTGATACCAGCTAGGCTTTCTTTGTAACCCAGGGGCACGCTGCACCCTCCCATCTTGTTTAGACCAAATGGAGGGCTGTGGATTATTAATCTCTCTCAAAAACCCAACGTTTTTTAGGGTAGTGGCTCCCTAGCTAGCTGTAAATCAGAAGACTGAGGTTTTGCTTTTCCTTTTTAAATAAAAATCAATGAACTC